ATATATATATATATATATATATATATATATATATATATATATATATATATATATATATATATATATATATATATAACTCTTGCATACATCAAAATCAAATAATTTGACAAACTCACAAATTTCAAAATTCTTTCTTCTTACAACTACTTTCATTCTGTAAACTATTTTATTTACGTATTAAATTGTAAAGGTTTCGTAAACAAATGGGATATTATTATTGAATTTTATAACTTCATGTCTGCTTCAAATTTTTCCAACTTTCGAAACCAGTAAAGTAAAAAAAACAAAGAAAAAAGGACAGGAAGATATTTTCAAAATTTTTAAAAAGTAAGAAATTATTGGTGCGAAAACATCGGTCATTCTCTATGTCATTGAAATTCAACTATGAAGATCCAGAATTGGTAGCCATTAGTGAAATTAGAGCTTTAGATGAAGAAGATCAGTTTCCGGAATAAATTTCTGGTTTCGGTCCAAGCCGTATTATCGTGTAATTCAAATACTAACCCTGTATGTTTACCTGAAATTTCATGAAATTACATTATGGTTGATATATGATGCATCGATCCAATTAACAGATTTTATTTCAGTTTCAGTTCAACCCGTACAACCAATACTCCTTGGTTAGACTTTATTATGGAAACCACTAAACATTTTCCTCCCTATACTGGAAGGGAACAGACGGATATGGACAATATAGGAAAAGGGAAAGAAATATGGTAATCGAGATGGAAGAAGAAATAAAAGCTAAAATTGAACCAAATATAAATTGAATTAGATAAGGATGAAATGAGAAATTAACTTGCGAATCATTTAACTACCATATGATGTTATCTCCAGAAGAATGTCATTGAATGGTAAAAAATATGAAGCATCCCAAACATATACCTACCACTCATTTTCTCTTACAACTTTCCAGATTAATAAAGCTGATCTGATGATCTGAGATGAACAGACGAATGAATGAACCGTCCATTAAATAAAATGTCTGGTCTTTAGGATTGTGGTATGGATTTATTCGATATTTTATAATAGTTAGATGATTCAGGAAATGTAATTGCTTCTTTCATTCAATATTTCCCGGGATAAGATTCCTAGATTATTTCGCTTCTTTTTTTTCTTTCTTTCTTTCTTTTCAGTCCGAATTATTTGAATGCAAAAGATCCTTTTCATATTGAACTGCTTTACACACTAACCCTATTTGGCCATACTAAAATTCACTTTCCGATAAATTTTGTTTGATCTTTGGTCTCTTTTTTCCAAAATTATGGATATGTTGAGAACGAGAGACTAAACTGAAGAAGGATAGCGATTTCATGTACTTCAATGCGCAATCATACGTACTAAGTAAAATGATGAACGGGTAGTTTTTTGTTCCTTATCATGACTCCCCCTTCTTGATTCTTGTTGATATCGAACCACCATCCTCATCACCACCGTATCATCATTTCCTATTTTTTTTTTTTTCGGGATAGAGAGAGGAGCATGGTTCATCGATCTCCTTTCCTCTTATCTCGGTGACACAATGTTCCTGTAGCAAAAAGGTAGACGAAGAAAAAGAAAAGGATCAATAAGAGAAAGGCAGTTAATAAACAAAGCAAAGTTTTTCATAAATCAATGTTAGTTGACTCGATTCAGATGGCTTTTATGCCAGTAATAAATAAATATTAAGAAGGGAAGAAAAATGTCCTGTCCACTATCAGGTCATTGCTTCTGAGGGATGAAATTCTCAAGCATCTGTCAATCTTTTCAAAATTTATCTGAACTATTAAGCCTTAATCAATCTCAATCATCTCTCATTTTCTTTCACTTTTAAACCCAAATGTTTCTATTAACGATTCAAACAAGTCTACTGCAATTCATTAACACATTTCCAGTTCCTCCCGAGAATGATGACAGTTAGTTTCCTCAAAAACGCGAGAATTAAGATGTAAATTTGCGGTTAATCAGCTGCTTTAGTAAGAAGTAAAATATATTATCACAATAACCTTTTTTTTCCAAATGTTATTATGGAAGCTTTTCCAGGATTTCGACCCATTTGATAGCAAATACAATGATAATCACTCATCAGGAAGTGAAAATCTTCATTGACTGCATTTTTCACACCTTCGTTTCAATTGTCTTTTATTTATAACAAAGTAACGATAACATGCATAATTAGGTTAATTAATTAATCAATGCCGAGTAAGAAAGTATGTACTGCGCTGTACTTTTGAATGTCGTTTGTACTTGACAATAGTTTTTACTTGACAATACTTTCATTTCATTGTAACATGTGAAAACATCAGATTCAGTAATAATCTAGAAGAGAAGAAAGAAAATGAACTGAACGATTCGGTTTAAGATTCAGAAAATGAGATACGTGAGGTTTTAAAAAACGAAGCATACCACTGGAAACGTATTTGTTTTGTGGTATATTCATTTGTATCCTTGAAAAAGATGGCACTAATTAATCTCTTTTATATAACCAGATTTAAAGAAAGTTGCCGGTTTTATGATAAGTTTTTTGGAATAACTTCATCACTGTCACCAATAGATGTCCAATTCTCTCTTAGTGTTGTTATCAATAAACATTTTTCCTCTTCCCTTACTTATTTTATTTACTAAAAAAAAAAAAAAAAAAGACCCTGCGAATCGATTATGGCACTTCAAATATTACTTTAATAAATTACTTTAATGATACTTTTATCTGATCAAACAAAAAATGACTTACAAAATTATCATATCCTGATTAATTCATGAGATCAAAATGATAAGAAAATAAGTTCTATTTTGATGGATTGATCATCAGAAGCAGCAAAATGAAATGAATTATTTGCATGATTCTTCCCTTTCGTCCATTCCCATCGACACTTTTAATTTAGGTACAGATAGTAAAACTGAGGTAAAAGTGATAGTAAAAAAAAAAATCGCAATTAAGATAATGATTAAGAAACTATAATCATAATAGCAAATTGCAACAAATACTTCCTCCTTTTCCAGAATCCAGTACGGTCGAATCTGATCCATAGTTGCATCACCATTATACCATATTGAAACTACAAAACAGAAAAAGTGATATTCAACAATGCATACACAATAGGTATCAAATTTGCTGCTGCATATCGTGTATGAACTTCATCTATTATACCTCCTGCTGTTCTTTAATCACTGGTCTTTGTTTGCTATAGAATAATCAATTAAATAAATTATTAAATTAAATTTAGCATGATTGAACCGTTATATTCGAGATCGGTGGCCTGCATATTTCAGTAGCATAATTTAATTATGCTCTCGAGAGAAG